TGGGCAATAAAATATGCCAGAGGAAAGGAACGTTTTACCAGATAAGCAGGATTTTCTGTTCTTTCAATAAGTTAAGGGGAATGTTTAGGTTGCATTTTTAGTCTGTCTCCAGTTCTACTCTTTTTTTTTCAGTCCTTGAGTTTGCAGCCATCATTCTGAATTCTGTTCAAGAAAAGCCAGACAATTCACAAGTAGACCATGAAAAGTTATTCTTGGTTTCCTGTCCTTCTCACTTTCTCAGCAGGTTATACCTACCATTTTGTTGCGTTCAGCTTTGATGTAGGTTGTCTCCTTTCCAAACCAGGTGTTCCCACTCAACCATAGGCTGTCGGCTAGGCTTCCTGTTAATGTTCTTGTTGTACATAAAACCTTCCTATGAAGTGTATATTTTCTCAAGGTCACCTCTGGCCTCCACACAGAAATCTATTGGATAACTGCTTCACTGTTCTCAACACTTTTTCTTATTTTATTTCTGGCTCTTGGGTTTCTCTTGACAGAATGAGGGAAAAATTACTAAATTACGTGACTATGCTTTTATTGACATTGAAACTTCTGATGATCTCCAACCACATGGTTTTGTTTTGTATGGTCCATTGATGAGAGAGGAAGGGGAAACTGGAACTGAGGCTACGTCACCACATCATGCTCAAGTTTTTGCTGGACCTTGGTGGTACATATTGAAGGAAGGATCTTATTGAATATTCAGATGAGAATGGATTGTATAATGAGTCTATTCTACAAAAAAAAATCTCTGGATTTCTACGCAGTGACATTAAATAATGAATACTGTAAAATGGAATTTTCTTGTACAGCTCTTTAGTTACAAAATAATGCATGTTTTTCATAAATAACTTAAAAAATGTAAAAGGACAAAAGAAGAGAATAAAGATTCTTACCATCCACAAATTACCACTGTTATAAATAATTTTATAAATACATATAAATGATTATATATTATTCTTGCTTACTAAAGCACTGATTTTTGACCTAAAACTTACTTCAGCATCTTTGAAACTCTTTCATCTAGGTTAGGAATATGCTATAATAAACAATCTCAACTTCTGTTGATATTTCTAACAGTTGACCAAGTCTCAAATTTTGAACACTAACTTTAAATAGCTATCATATTTTATGTTTCAAGTGCTTCTAATGCCTGGCACCCATGTTCTGTCCTCACCATTTATGTGTCTGATTAACCCAGCAATCAGAAGAAAATTTTGGACATCCCAGAACAAGTGAAGGCGTCATTCAGTATTTATCACCCACACAATGAGCAGGTCAAATGTCCTAATAGAAAAAAAGTCCATTTTTTGCCCATTAGAAATTGATAGGGATTTCAAAATAAATACTCATAATCACAGTCATGGATATGTAACAATGGGAGAAAAGAGAAACCTCAAACACTTTGATAATCTATTCCTCATTTGAAGTCTGGAATCTTGTTTGTGGCAGGATAATAGGTCAACATTCCATATTCTCTACATTCACATATTTCAACATTCATATATTAGTAAAGCATCATTTAAGTCAATTTGAACTATAGAAGAATTGTGGCTTGTTTCATGTGTTTTGTATCTGTGTCGAATACATTTTCACTTGATAGATACAACTCATTGTGTAGCTATATTCTTCTGAAAAAAATTCCATCTCTTAGGAAGTATTATTTGGTCTTCAACATTTTTATTTGATTTTTTGAGACAGGGTTTCTCTGTGTAGCCCTGGCTGTCCTGGAACATGCTTTGTAGACCAGGCTGGCCTCGAACTCATAGAGATCTGTCTGCCTCTGCCTCCCAAGTGCTGGGATTAAAGTTATGAGCCACCACCTCCCAGCCATCTTCAATGGTTTTCTTTAGTCTTTTGAAAATTTATGAAAATTACTTTTATTTATTTATTTGCTTATTTATTTATTTACTTATTGTGTGTGTGTGTGTGCGTGTGTGTATGTGTGTGTGTGTGTGTGTGTGTGTGTGTGTGTGTGTGTGTGTGTGTAAGTACTAAGGTACTGGAAGACCACGGGCTGAGCCAGATCACCAGCTGTTTTCCTCTGAATTTAAAAATTAAAAAAATAAAATTATTAATCATTTCCTTATCAATTTAGTCATCCAACATCTTTCTGTCCATCCAATATGTTTAACTGCCTTCCTATGTTTTCACCAAATCTTTAATTGTTTTTTTTTTTCTAAAGCAGACAAGCTGAGGATCTTTTTAAGTCTTGGTCACTTTGATTTACTCAAATTTTGTAGTATTTTCATGTCATAAGACTGCTCAGTAAGAACATTTACACATTTAGGTTTCAATAACAGCTATATAGTGTATTTTAATCGTCTTATCATATATTAATTATCATACCTTTCTGGGGAATTAATCATGCTTCTATGCAGATATGCTTGATATTTCTTTGGAGTGATGGAATTAATCAGGAGAATCTCATGTCAAGACCAGAGTTAAAATGCTATGGAAACACTGATGTCTGCAAATGGAAGCAAAAATCGCTTCATAATTGTCTGTAAACTTAATGTTTTCCTATATTCATTTTGGAAGTATTGTGATGTATTTGGGAAAAAATTGAATTAAAGCTAACATGCTAAGAATAGATGAAATATCTTAAATCTACTTTCAATCATAAACCATTAAACCATGAAAATAAGAGAATTAAGGTTTTCTTTAGTCAAAAATAAGCAATTTTAAATAAAGATGGGTGAGTGGTTTTTATTTTAAATAAAGGCAGGCACATATCAAAATGAAAATTCTCCTGACAATTCTGAAGCATGGAACTCTCAGGTACAACTTTCTAGGATAAAGGTAAATTTCCCCAAGGCAGATGTCAGATTTGATTTTCACTCATGGAGAAAAATTGGATGGGTTCTTAGTAGTAGAACAAAACCTTAAGGAAGCAATTACAAATGGATGAAATTGAATTCCCTTTGAAATGTTAGCAAGATTATGAAATTTAGTTTCAGGGACTTAATTGGGTCAAACTCCAAAACCACAAAGTCAAATTTGGGGTTTCTCTTACAAAGTAGAATTTTTAAATGTTGGATACTCAAGGACTGCTGAGAAACGTTCTGTTCTAGTAATAACAAACCCATTAAACTCACGAACTCTCAGCTACAGGTCTGTAGCTGCCTGTACAAGACCAGCACAAGATCAAGCCAATCCAAATTCCAGCATGCACAGATGGACTGGTGTTCATGAGACCCTAGTTGAGGAGCTTTTGGCAATTAGCTGCATCTGGGGGAGGGACTATCAGTTTTCTTCAGGAGTGTTTGTTGCTCCAGGTAGCTTTCACATGCTACAGAGGATGGACCTACACTCTTCCACATACCAGCAACATTCCTGAACTCAGTTGGTTGGAAAAAAATTTTGACATAAAATTAGAAGAGTTATTTGGTGAAGGAGGTTGATGAGGAATAAAAGGGGCAGAAGTTCAGAAAAATCATCAAAGTACATCATACACATGTATGTAATTCTCAAAGACAAAATTTGAAAAAGCAAGTTTAATCGAATAAAGATGCTTTATGCTTTTTTTCCTCACTCAATTACTACTAGAATATTTGAAAACCAATGATATAATTGTAGCACAAATCCTAACTGAACATATAAACAAAAACTCAGAGCCAGATGTCAGGATAAATGCTGAAAGATCAGAGGAAACAAGCCACAGCCACTTCTCACCTCTCCAACTCCTCAGCTGAAAGGGGAAGATCCTGTCTCCATGAATCCTCAGACTCAATGTCCCTGAGGCCTCAGGCTGAAAAGAGGGGAGATCCTCTCTCCAGAAATCCTCAGACTGAATGCTTTGAGATCCCTATATTCCTTTTTCTGCCCAGCCATATCACTTCCTGTCTCAACCTTCCCAGTGCTCAGATTAAAGGTGTTTGACTCCCAAGTACTGAGATTAAAGGTGTGAGCCATCACCACCTGGCTCTGTTTGTCTTTTAGACTGGATTAATTGATGTAGTCCAGGGTGGCCTTGAACTCACAGAGATCATTTTGCCTTGCCTCACAAGTACTAGGATTAAAGGGTGTGTGCCACCACTGCCTGGCCTCTATGGCTAACTCTGTGGCTGACTCTGCCCTCTGATCTCCAGACAAGCTTTATTTGTTAGATCAAACACAAAATATTACCCCATATAATGATTGAGCAAAATATGTTTCTAACATCCAAAAATAAAGTATTCATAGAGGATTGTGTTTTCAGAAGAGTATGAAAGTGGTTAGTCACACTTTCTCATTTATCCACTCTACAGGCATAAATTGAAGCCCTGCTGTGTAGAAGGCATCACTCACCAGTGGTCCACAAACAGTGTTGATCCTTATGATCTTACATTCTTAGATTCTTAGAATGTAAGTTCTAATAATAATACATATGCCTTCATCTGGAAAGAAAATATAAATACACACACATACACACACAAAGAAATAAAACTTGACTTTTAATCTGTTCACTAAAAAAGCAACAGGGTATATTTTTTAAAAACTGTAACCTCATGAATCTTCTGATGTTTTTCTTATCTGTCATTTAGTTAAACTTTAAAGAATTGCAACTAGATTATGAAGGTCATGATTGCTCAACGGAATGCTTTTCTAGGTGCCTGTGGACTGATGTCCTCTGTAACATTCCTTTCTTAACTGATTTTACTCACACTTCCCAAATGGTTCCCAGAGGATGTGTGACTCAGGCCTTGGCCCTTTCTAAAGTTTCATATTTACAACATCAACTATGTCTAGGAGTATCAAATGCTTGCTAAAGGAGTATCAAATGCGAAGCTAAAATACCTCAAAGTAGGCCTGATATCATCTTTCATTCTTTGTATACTACCATTGTTTGCACAGCCTTGACACTCTGGCATCTAGCTTAATGCATCAAAAATTATGTCCCCAGCTTTCTCCTTTATTCCTGAAGTTTACTGACTGTCATGATTTATTATCTATCATAAATTACCTCTTGAGTTAATGCACTTATTTCCATTTCTGTAGCCAGTCTCTTTTTTTTCCAGAAACATCACTCTTGCCACTGCAACAGCAACCTAACTGATTTCTCGGCCTGATGCTGCCATCAAGTTATTTCCTTATGAGAGATGATGGATGTGTGTAAGTACCAACAGCTTGGCAGAGCATCAAGCCTGTCTATGGTCAGAACCCGTTGTGCTTCCTCCAAACTTGACTCCTGTTTTGCGCTCCCATTATTCCCTCTGCTATAGACAGCCCTGCACATTCAGTTTCCAAGGCATAATGCTCTCTGGGTCAGTATTTCAATAGGCATGCACCTGGTGAAATGCCATTCATTCCTAAAATCCCCATCATAACTCCATCTCACTTAGTTTTTTTTTCTTCTGATGTCTACAGTCATTCCCTTCTTTTCTTCAAAGCCAGGACTCATTGGAGTTCTTTCAGACAACCATCTTATGTGCTACTTACAAAAAATTCACATGGAACATAAACTTCTTAATGTGTGATTGCATATGTGTGTACTTGTGTATCTGCATGTGTGGGCACTTGTTTGTGGAGGCCAGAGATCAATCAACACTGGGTGTTTTCTTCTATTCCTTTCTACCATTTATTTATTCATTTGTTTATTTGAGATGGGATCTCTCACTGAACCTGGAGCTTTCCAATTTATTTAAAACAGCTGGAAATCAAGACTCAGGAATCCTCCTTTCTCTGCCTGCACAACACTAGGGTTTTGGATATAAACCTGCCATGCCAAGCTTTTTTATTTTTATTTTTCACATTCATCCTGGGGACCTGAATTCAGGACCTCACGGTTTCATGGCATGTACTACCCTGTGATGGAGTCATCTCCTCAAACTCTGATTATTTGAGTTTAACAGTGTCTGTGTCTTAGTTAGGGTTTCTATTGCTGCAATGAAACACCATGATTGAAAGCAAGTTGGGGAGGAAAGTGGGTTTATTTGGCTTACACTTCCGTATTGTAGCTCATCACTGAAGGGAAGCAGGACAGGAACTCAAACAAGGCAGAAAACTGGAGACAGGAGCTGATTCAGAGACCATTGGGGAACGCTGCTTACTGGCTTGCTTCATGTGGCATGCTTAGCTGCTTTCTCATAGAACCCATGACCACCAGCCCAGGGATGGCACCACCCACAATGGGCTGGGCCCTCCTCTATCAGTCACTAATTAAGAAAATTCTCTACAGCCGGATCTTATGGAGGCATTTTTCTCAACTGAGGTTCCCTCCTCTCAGATAGCTCCAACTTCTGTCAAGTTGACACAAAGCCACCCAGCACGGTCTGTTTATGAAGCTGAAAATAATGCTTGCCTAATATACTACATTGTAGTAGCAGTTTTAATCTCACATTTTGTTAAGATAACCAATAGGGGAATTAAAAAAAAATATACAGAAGGGCTGGTTCTAAAGAGTAAGGGCAGTTTCATTCAACATGACCTAAAATAGATGTCCTCTTTCATGTCTGTTAATCAACTGTAGTATTAAAAGATTTTTTTTCTTAAAACTGATGCACCCCTTCCCACTGCTATAGGCCAGGCCATATATGTAAGAGTTTAGAGGCTCTGTTTGTTTGGACTTAGTTCTTTCCATTCCTAAAACCAAGGTCTCATTTTCAGTAATCGAGACCTTCTTCCTACGTAGTGTGGCTTTAAGACACACAAAGGCCAGATGCAAGAAGCTAAAGCACATGTGCCTTGGTATCAGGTGACATCTGTCAGAGATACGGCTTGCCATAGTGCTTCTCACCATTGAATTTATTATCATTCTTCTCTTTACTTCAATAATCACAGAAACCCTGTCTTACATAGCCATTTAAACTCCTTATCCTCAGCACCTAAGACTGTGCTTATTCCATGGTAAATCCTGGAAGGAAATATCCATACACTCAAACAAAAGCTACCGCATTCCATTACTGTTTACTTCCTGCTAACCCAGCACACATTGCCCTTATATTGCCTCCCTCATGGCTATATGCTACTGTTACTTTCAGTATAAATTCGCATCATTGAGGACCAGACTTATACCAGCACAAGGATTCCATCCATGTTTACTTTTCCTTCCTGATGGTTTGGAGCCAACCAGGCTGAAAATTCTTAGCCCTTCGGGTTTTATGGGTAGAAATCAGGAAGTTCATAGGCATGGGTAGGAACAAACTGCATCTTTATTTTTAACTGCCTGGGAATTTACCACTTATTTCATTGAGTTGACAGTCAATGCTCCTTGGTTTTGTGCTCTAGAGGCCTTAAAAATATTGCTTATATTCATCACTACAGTTATGCAGTTATCAGAATATACTGCTATAATTGGATCTTAATTACTAATTTAGACAACCATACATTTATTTATATATTTTAAACTCATGCAGTCTGGTTAATTTTCTTCTAACTCTAAATATTTTAATGTGTTATTATTTTTGTTCTGAGACAGGGTATCACAATGTATCCCTTATTGTTCTGGAACACATTATGTAGACCAGGATGGCCTCAAACTCATAGAGATCTTCCTGCCTCTGCATCTCAAGTGCTGAGATTAAGGCATCTGGCATCATTTGTATATATATTCTTAAAATGTGTACTTGAGAATTTTATGATTCACCAGTGAAATAGAGGAGTCCAAGACACAATGACCAGAAAAATTAAAAGCCTTACTAATGGGTTGGCAGCCAGCCACAAGTTGAATGGCCCACAAATTCCTGAATTGCCTGATGAAAGCTTCCAGTTAAAAATTAGCTGCTTCCTTAATCTACGAAGGGCAAAAAAATGACATTGCATTGTTTTTTTAAAAATCTATTATGTATACTGAGGTATATTTGTTAATACTACAATATGTTCTTTAGTTCAGTCTCTATGCCACACAGCCCATAAACAATATAGAATATATATGAAATCACAAGCATACTACAGGAAATATGTAATAGAAGACCAAAGCAATATACTCATGTAAATATGCTATCTCTTCAAGGCTAATCAGCGAATCTGATTTGTGGTGATTTCATTTGCACAACACCCTTTCTTATAATTAATCACATTTTCCATGTTACAGTGTCTCTGAAAGCTTTGATTGTTAGTTCTCATTCACAGTTAGAATGAAGAATTTGTTTCTGTTTCAAGAGGACAATAATGGTTCTCTCTACTTTAGCTGTGACTGAAACAGCTCTTCCACTTGGTGGTGTGTATTGAAATTTCCATTTTAGTACATTTTTTGGTATCACATCTTTAAGTGTAATTTAGAGTTTGTCTGTTCTTTCAGAGTCTTCCTTCATAGACCACTAAGCCAGACAGCATGTTCAGATCTCAGTTTTAAAAGATGCTTTAAGTTGGTTATTTTTTTTTAAAGATGTGATTCAACTGGACAAGATTTACACATAAAAGTCTCATGAATTTAGAACCTTAAATCATTTCATGACTTATAAACACAACCCATTCTGGGAAAATGACCAGTTGAGGGGATAAGGGCAAGTGTCTGAGAACACTCTCAGGGAACTACTTCTTTCTATCCAGAGTTGAAACTAAACTGACAAGTTCTTTACATTCTTATAAAGCTGCTTGCTTTAGTTTAAAACAGAAAAGAATGTGACTTGCTACCTTCCCCTCACATACCCCTCTCCAAGTATCGCTCTATGTGTTTATACGAAGCTCATTCCAGGCAAGGGTTTTCTTTTTGGCTTTGTGATTTTTTTCTCTTACCATTCATCTCACAGTCTAGCTTTACTCTCCAAGATTCAAGCTTTTCTCCATATTCTGTGACTATAGGGACATACCTTCAAGTTATGAACAATAACCAAGAGCAAAGGTAATAGCTTGTAATATTTGGGAGTGTATGGGAACTCACTGGCCAACAACTCCTATAGATGCAGCCTGTTCTTGACACTGGGCCTATTTTTTTGTTAGTCTGTGGTGTCTAGTAGGCACATTACTACCCCATTATAGGATAAGACCATTTAACTTTTATCATTCATGTGTAAATATATATGCTTATATTTAAACGCACTCATACACACATGCACACATTCACACACACACAGAAATCATCTACAATAGTAGGCTTTCATATAACTATTTTTGAAAGATTTTAGTATTATTTAACCCTTCCTGTATTCCCTCATCTACACTGTTCTCCTTCCTCATAACCCTTCCTGTTTAACCCTTCATATTCTATGAATTCTCTTTAAGTATTTATATCACTTTGTTTTATCTGCCTTCCCTTGATAGACAAAACATCCATGGCCCTTTATTAATTTCCTGACCTGTGTGTAAAGAATATTCACATTCCTATACTCCAAGTGTGAGAAATACATATCTGAATATCCAAAGCTAACATTCACAGATGAGAGAAAACATGAAGCTTTTGTCTTTCTGTGTCTAGGTTACTTAACTCAAAATATATTTTTTTAGACCTATCTATTCAGTGGTTTGTAAATTTATTTTTCTTTTAAAAATACATTCATTATTCATTGTATAAGAATTCTGATTTATATTTTGACACTTTATACTAAAAACAGTGCACTTGAATATATATGTGCATGTGTGTGTGTAGTCTATTTTTTATTCTTTTGTGCACATACCTTCTCTCTCTCTCTCTCTCTCTCTCTCTCTCTCTCTCTCTCTCTCTCTCTGTGTGTGTGTGTGTATGTGTGTGTGTATGTGTATAGGGAAGAGGAGAGGTTGACACTGGCTATCTTCAAAAATTCTCCACATTATTTTTATTAATTAAATTTATTCTTGGACAATTTCCTATATGCATATAATGCATTCCTATTGCTCTCTCCATCTCTCATCTCCCTCCTACCCCAAACAAAACCCCTTATACCTAAGTTTCCTTCCCTACATCCACATCTTCTTGTTTTGTATTGCATTCTACTGATTTAAGCAGAGCCATGGTTTGGAACTAGACACTGGAGCTCAGTGCGCAAAAAACTGATGATAATGATTCCCTCTGCTCTGGAATCCATCAGTAGCCAATAGTTCAACAGGGCATGGTAGAGCACTGTGAGACCTTTACCAGTCAACCCATGTTTAACTGTTGACTGGACAAGTGCTCTGCAGGTTCATTATCATCAATCCCAACTACTGTGAGAATATGCTTGCAGTGGCTACGTCAAGTCCTTCTCCTGGCTCTTCCA